TTTGAGGGTTACGGCACAGACGCAATCATCTACCTGAAGGTAAGGATTACGTACTGGAACCATGAACAGAAGCTATTATCTACCTGAAGGTTAGGCTTACACTCACAAAAGGATAAATACATTTCTAGAAAAATTATTTTTACAGGCTTTGTCCGTTCCTTCCATTCCACATACAAAAAAACCCTTGGGTTTCTTTTTTTTTTCTTTTTTTCTTTTTTGATCTTGTTTTGTTTCAGATGCTTTTTTTATTTCAGATTTTTTTCAGTCCTGTCTTAGCCGAAGGTCTTCAAAGTTCTAAGGTTTCTCTTTCTTTTTAGGGGGAAAAAGTAGTCCATTAAAAAAGAATCCCTCTAAGTACAAGAATGTCAAAAATAAAAATAAAAAGTGGCAATAACTCATACTAAGAAAAAGAAGAAAGCATTAGAGAATGTAAACACAAACAAACGTTGATTGAATGTGTGACGGTGTTCCTCTGTTAGAGAATGTAAACACAAATAAACGTTGATTGAATGTGTGACGGTGTTCCTCTGTTAGAGAATATAAACACAAACAAACGTTGATTGAATGTGTGACGGTGTTCCTCTGTTAGAGAATATAAACACAAACAAACGTTGATTGAATGTGTGACGGTGTTCCTCTGTTAGAGAATATAAACACAAACAAACGTTGATTGAATGTGTGACGGTGTTCCTCTGTTAGAGAATATAAACACAAACAAACGTTGATTGAATGTGTGACGGTGTTCCTCTGTTAGAGAATATAAACACAAACAAACGTTGATTGAATGTGTGACGGTGTTCCTCTGTTAGAGAATATAAACACAAATAAACGTTGATTGAATGTGTGACGGTGTTCCTCTGTTAGAGAATATAAACACAAATAAACATTGAGTGTGTTCCTCTCCCTCCTCCCCCCCCTCCCCCAGGTCCTGTCTAACGAGGCCAATGAGATGCTCCCCGTGTACAACAAGACTGCCTCCCGCGTCTACCACACGGACATCCCCGTCAATGACTGGTCCTCTCCCTGGCAGACCAACCAGCGGTCCGTCAGCTCGTTCGCCAAGATGCGCTGCTAGTCGGGTCACACGAGGGTCGTCGGTCAAGGTCACTGTCCAAGCAACCAATGAGGGCGTCTTTCTGCTTTAGTTTTTTTGTCCCCTTGTTGTTGTGGGGGTGTTGAGAGGTTGGTAGAGAGGTCACAGGCAGTTTGGTGTGATGTGCAGTATTTTGATGATGGGATAAGAGCTCTGAGCGAGGTCAGACAATATTTTGGTGCTGCGTCTGAGAAGAGGATTGATGAGGATAAACTAGACGCTGTTGATTGACTGGTTGTGTTGAAAGTCAGGAGTGCAGAGAAATCATGCTTCACGAAATAACTCTGTAACACATAATAAGTAAAAATCATTGCTTATGGATATTGTTGTATCCTTGATGAAGATGTTAATGCTTATTATGTCATGAATTTGCATTTAGCTGTGCATAAAACAAGATTGTAATCCATGGAAATTTGTGGTGTGAACATCTTGTCTACTGAATATGACTCGAGCTTTTGTCTTATGAGTGATGCAAATGAACGGTTGTGTGGGCCAAGTCTTGCAGACGGTAAAGGGAAGGCAAAGAGGAGATTGCAAAGCAGTGATTGAGAAAATTCATAGTCAATCGTTGAGCACACATAATCTTGTCATTGGAATTTTTTTTTAAACAATGTTTTTGTTCCTGCTAGTTCCTAGTATTTTCCATTCTACGGGACTGAAGACTTTTGTTCAAAGTTTCACAAATGTTTTGAGGGTCAGTATTGATGTATTTGTGTGTACCTACATGGGTGGGCGATGTATTTGTGTGTACCTACATGACACGGGTGTGTGTGATGTATTTGTGTGTACCTTCATGACACGGGTGTGTGTGATGTATTTGCGTGTACCTACATGACACGGGTGTGTGTGATGTATTTGTGTGTACCTACATGACACGGGTGTGTGTGATGTATTTGTGTGTACCTACATGACACGGGTGTGTGTGATGTATTTGTGTGTACCTACATGACACGGGTGTGTGTGATGTATTTGTGTGTACCTACATGACACGGGTGTGTGTGATGTATTTGTGTGTACCTACATGACACGGGTGTGTGTGATGTATTTGTGTGTACCTACATGACACGGGTGTGTGTGATGTATTTACGTGTACCTACATGACACGGGTGTGTGTGATGTATTTGTGTGTACCTACATGACACGGGTGTGTGTGATGCCATTGTGTCCCTCCACTCAGTTTTCCTTTGCTTGCTTTAACTCAACAACTTACAGTCACTGATAGCTTTAGGTCTGTACACTTCCCCTGGCAGAAAGGACCAAATGATGCTCTGGTTTATTTAGCTCCTTTGTATTGATTTTGTGGTGTAGAGGCTCCTTGAAATTAGCCATTGGTGTGGGTGTGTATGTGTGTGTGTGTCTGTGAGAGAGAGAGAGAGAGAGAGTGAAAGAAAGAGAGAGAGAGAGAGAGAGAAAGAGTATGTGTACATATGTTGCGTGTGTGAATGTTCATTAACGATGTGTGAATATATTCATAATTTGTAATTGTGAGAGAGAAATGGTGTGTGTTGAGGAGTGATTGTGTACGTTCATTACGTTCACCCTCCATGTATTTATCGGCAGTGTTAGTCCACTGTGAACTGTGATGCTCCCAATCGTTGCACTTCTATGTCCATTTTCACATCATGTATACTATGTTTGCAGAGGGTCTCATTTTTAAAAGTGACAGTTATAGTCAATTTGATGAAGAAATGTTTTTCCGCTATATATATAAATATATATTGATGCCTTTTTGTGTCCCCTCGCGGCATAGGTTATTGAAAAGAGGATGGCTGAAACCTCATGGGATGACGTTTTCAGTTAGCTCGATGTCTTTCTGTGCTTCCTCGAGGTCTTAAGCAAAGTCCCGCGTCCCGTGAAGCTAATCATGTCCGTTATTATATCGTAACCATCCGCAAATCATTTCCTTTTGGATGAGCCGTGCTGGTGTCCGATGTGTTCGCGCTCACCACAAGTTTGTTCAGAGAGTCTAGTCCCAGGCACTGGCTTCATAACAGGGTGCTAAAAAATGCTTGTTACCTCACACACATACACACATACACACACACGCACACACACACACACACACACACATACACACACACACACACACACACACACACACACACACACAGTACACCATCCATTTACGCGTCCGTACTATGAGTATGTATGGAGTTGAAACGCTAAACGTTGCAACTTGCGTTCCTTTTTTCTCCTCGATTTGTTTCATTTCAAGTTTTGTCATGTTTCTTCGAAACGGCTTGTAGGTCAACAAGTTTTCCTGTAATAATAGAGTAAGTGTACTGTTTTTCTGTCTTGTTTGAAAAGTGGAACTTGTGGCTTGCATTTTTCACCCCAATGATTTTCCTACAGCTCGGCTGTGTAATTTTTGAAAAATAATAAGTCTTGTGACTGACTACATGAAGTGTACAGAAAGGAATGGTGAATGTCTGTGTGTGAGTGTGTCTGTGTGTGAGTGAGAGCATGCATCGCGATAGAAGCTGTCATCGCTTTGTTTTACTAGGAAGGACTTTGTATGTATGTAGTGTACAGACAAGTTTGGTTTTTTTTAGAAGAAGAATTCCTTGTTAAAATTTTCCTTGTTTTTCACTAGTTTTTTTTCTTACCTCAAGTGATTGTTTTTAGTGTCCGTGAAAAGATTATCTGTGTTTGGTTTTTGGGTTTTTTTAAAAATTACTAGATGTTTGATCTCATACGTAAGAAAAGGTGGCATGGATTGCGGTATGTGTATTGTTGGTCACTTGGACTACCGAGAATAGGTTTCTAGAGAATCTGATCTGTAAGTAAATGATGAATGTGTCAGTTGGCACACAAAATTTTGTCCAGTTCTGACAACCTGGGTTGTAATAATAATAATAATAATAATAATAATAATAGATAGCATTTGTACTGCGAAAATCCCCACTCAACAGCAAGCAAGCTCTATGCACTTAACAATCTTTACTATTACCCCAGCAGACCTGAGAGCACTCTGAAGCAACCTCAACTTCCTGGGAAGCATACAGTGCAGGCAGCCATTTATAGGCGCTAAGACACTAACATACTGACAAGATCTTGTATACTTGATGTGTACGGTACATCAGCGCTGTCCCATGAAAGGTAACTCAGTTTGACCTCATTTTACTAAGAGGAGGAGTGAAAGTGAAAAACACTCTCGTTACAGCGACGACGATATTTATAGATATGTGTATTGGAGCGTGATTCTTATCTTACTTTTCATTGTTATTTTTTAAAGATTTTTTTTTTTTTACAATCAGAGAAAAAAAACCCTCAACTTTTTGGGGGTTGTAAAGTAAAGAAAAAGATTGTCACTGTAAGTGAGGGAGAGGTTTGTGAGGACAAGAGTCATGAGTCAGATCTTGTTGTTGTTGTTGTTGTTGTTGTTGTTGTGTTCAGATGTGTTGTACATGTGTGTACCGGTCATCTGCTGGGCGAGAGTGAATGTTTCACACACACACACACACAGACACATATACACACACACACACACACACACACACACACACACACACACACACATGTGTGTTGTGTATGAAGTGTTGTGTCAGCGTGAGACAATGTGTGTGTGTGTGTGTGTAGCACTTTATCAGTCTGTGCCAAAGAAAATATGAGTATTATGAGGAAAAAGTTGTTATGACTAGAAAAGTTGTTTTTCTGAATCATTTTCTTGAAGTTGAAGAAGCTTTAACATACAGAACCGAGTGCCTGACCATTTTAAAACATTCCTATGGACCGGCCAGTTGTTATCATAGTCTGGTTGTGGGTGCCTGGTGGGTGCTCTGGTGTGGTTTGCTTTGTCTTTCCTATCAAACATCTATGGGTCTTTATTTCCCCTCCTTCTTTTTTTGTGTTTGTTACTCTCTCTCTTGTAACACCTCTTAATCTCCGGCTCTTATATATGACCTTATTGTGCTGCAAGTGCCGTAAAACTCGTACTAAAATAATAGTCTGGTCGGGGACTGTAGCACCCTAGGCCGACTGCATTCTAGGAGAACTAGAAGCCATGGTGGGGGAAAGTTGCGATAAAACAAACAAAAATCATGGTGGGGGAAAGTTGCTATAAAACAAACAAAACTCATGGTGGGGGAAAGTTGCTATAAAACAAACAAACCAAAAAAATAGCAGTATCTTGCATAAAGTACATTACATCACGTTTGTAGTAGTCTTACAATAGTTGGGTGTGTGCATATATATATACATTACATCACGTTTTTAGTAGTCTTACAATAGTTGGGTGTGTGCATATATATATACATTACATCACGTTTTTAGTAGTCTTACAATAGTTGGGTGTGTGCATATATATATATACATTACATCACGTTTTTAGTAGTCTTACAATAGTTGGGTGTGTGCATATATATATACATTACATCACGTTTTTAGTAGTCTTACAATAGTTGGGTGTGTGCATATATATATACATTACATCACGTTTTTAGTAGTCTTACAATAGTTGGGTGTGTGCATATATATATATACATTACATCACGTTTTTAGTAGTCTTACAATAGTTGGGTGTGTGCATATATATATACATTACATCACGTTTTTAGTAGTCTTACAATAGTTGGGTGTGTGCATATATATATACATTACATCACGTTTTTAGTAGTCTTACAATAGTTGGATGTGTGCATATATATATACATTACATCACGTTTGTAGTAGTCTTACAATAGTTGGGTGTGTGCATATATATATACATTACATCACGTTTGTAGTAGTCTTACAATAGTTGGGTGTGTTTGAGTTGAACTTTTGGAGAACTTTGGAAGGAGACTCTGGCTAAGTTTTTTTCAAATTGTAATTGTTGGCAATTTGTTCAGATGTTCTGAACCCCCCAGTTGATTTTTTTTGTAAATTTTTTTTGTGGCAGTTGCTGTTTCATGAACTTTTATATCAGTGGCAAGTGCGTGAGAAATAGTTTGGTGAAATTCTAATTCTGTTTTTTTAAAAACACCAAAAAAACCCACACACACACAAAAAGGGATACACGATACATAATATGTAAATTTTTTACAAGAATGAAAGAGTTTGTTTTTGTTTTTTTCCAGAAAAATTTAGCTTTTAGGGTTCAGAACACTTGAAGAGCGTGCTGACAAAAGGAAGGCTCTATTTTCTGTTATTCGTATTCCCCGAAACCAGTTGTTGTCTTTGATCATTCACGTAGGAAGACAAGATATTATTGAATTATGCTACTGAAGAGTTTGGTTTAATTTGTTTTAGAATCTCAGCAATATCCAGGTTGCCACGGCAACTATACAACTTCAACAACCTCTTCATTTTTGTATCGTGCGGTAGTTCTGTCTGTTTTCTTTTCTCAAATTCTTTCCTGTAGAGAGAGGTGTGGTTGTGGCCATTTTTTTTACTGTCTAATGTGGTGACCTTGCACTGTTAGACGGTAGAGGCAAACAGTTGTTAATAACCTTTAATTTCCAAACTTTGTTCTGCGTGCATTTCCTACTAAAACTTACAAGTACAGTATATCAATATATATATCATTGTAGCGGAGACGACCGTTGACATTCCAGTATACAGGGTTCCCACGGCCTCCTTGAATTCGACGAGTCCTTGAAAACTCCTTGTTTAAGTCTCCTTGAAAACCTCCTGAATTTGAGGAACGTCCTTGAAAACTCCTTGAATTTCTCCCGATCGAAAGTGAACAAAATGAAAATCTTTGTAGGGAAATTGTAACTACGATTCTTTTTGGTGGACAAGTGTAGGCCTATCGGAAATAGGCTTTCAGCATGAATTCCTTGACCCAATCTCCTTGAATTTTTTAAATTTCTCCTTAAAACGTCCTTGAAATCTCTTTGAATTTTAAAAATTTTCTTCTTGAAACGTCCTTGAAATCTCTTTGAATTTGGCGGGGAGTTCATCAGGGCAAGAACCCTGGGTATAATAAGATTTTTCGCTTCGGTCGTTGTTGAACGTACGGCACAGTCTGCTCGTTGTTGCGACTCTCGTCAAGGGCACCGTGAATGTTGTCCCAGAAATTGTGCCGTTCCGTGAATCCCCTCATCAGAGTCAGAATGAGAATTTCATTCCAGCAAGCTCGGCTGTGTAATTTTTGAAACATAACAAGTCTTGTGACTGACTGCATGAAATGTACAGACAAGGAATGGTGAATGTCTATGTGTGAGTGTGTCTGTGTGTGAGTGAGAGCATGCCTGCTGTCATACATACTTGAGAGCGAGTGTATCTCGATATCAAAATGTTTTCCGGAAGTGCTTTTGTATGTTTGTGTGTGTGTGTCTGTGCGATGTGTGCCTGTGCATGTGCGTGTGTGCGTCTGTATGTGTGTGCATGTGTTTGTTTGTGTGCACACACTTATGTATTTTTGAATTACATGACATGACAGACTGTAAAATTATAATTACCGTTGTAAAATGTAGTGATTTCAT